GATGATGGAATATGGGAGGAAGAGGTCGACGGGTAGATTGAAGCAGCTAGTTGCGTTCTGCGTAAACTAACCTGAACCGCTTTGACCAAAGCAGAGGTGAGTCGGAAGACTAAGCTTTTGGTCTTCATCACCAAGATCACCTTTGATCATGAATGAAAGGCTATGACTGAAAAAGTTCGGTGCCTGGTACAAGCATTTGAAATGGGCTTTCTGAGGTGAATCGCTGACCTCATGTGTCTCTCCATTTCTAGAGTAAAAATGTCTTATATTGCCTTTGAGTACAATCGTTGCTTCTTTCGATTAAAAAGTCAGAACTACGATGGCTTGGGTAAGTGTAGTGAGTTCCTTCGGAAAGGAAGGCGAAGAAAGTGATAATTGCTCAACCGTTTGACCAAAGACTCCAGAACACGACCAAGACAAACAATGGACAGGTTTACTGAAGAAATTTACTCTTGACTTCGGTTGTCTTTTGGTAATGCTCAAACACTCTTAGACAGTATGGAATATTGAAAGAAATGTCTGACGCGTAAGCCTATGCCACCCTAAAGGAAAACCGATAGCTAAAATTGAATTAAATCTTTATGCTTTGGTTGTTTTCAATGGTCTCCCTTATCAATCTGCAGTTAAATACGTGACGTATTCGTTTATCGGCTTTCTTAAAGATCTACAAGATTCTATGCGTTTCGATATTCTATTTCTGATTTGCTGTTATCTTTACTGCTTTTTGTTTCTACAGTAGTTCTTTCGTTTGATTAGTGATATTTCGGCCAACCTTCCGAGATGTTTTCAGACGTTTCTATAATTGCATTCTTTTCATCCTGGTGTGTGATGCCAACATTTAGTGTTTCTCGCGCTTCTTTTACGCATCTTGGACGGCCTACAAGCGGCAATTTAATTCGAATTGGAATAGCGGTAAGCTTTTCTTCAGTATTCCCATGTCAAAAATTTTGGTTCTCGTGTTCAGCAATTTTTCTTTTCCAAAGTTGAATTCAGACTCGCATTGTAATCGTTTCCTCAATTCTATTTGTTCATTACTGCAACCACAATTTTCTGCACCGTGCTGCTCATGTTACTCAGGATGAAATCGATTTCATTCGTGACGTTGGTAAGCCCATTTTTGGTAAGTTTTTCTGAAAAAATCAGTTCGTAATAAATAACCCGCTTTTTCAGCAGAATCTACTAGTCTGATGACCCTGTCTTACTGTTTTTGAAACCAAATCGACGATAGGGCATTAATTTCCTCACTGGAGTCCGACTTTACATTGAAATCATCAGCGACTCATTCATGCGTTCATGCACTTCTACTTCTTGTAAAAATCTTCAATTTCTTCATCAGGATGACTTGCCCTCGGCATATATATTCTATGACTCTCAGTTTTTACATGTTTTGACACTCTCAAAGCAAGATCTGCACACCGCTCTGTAACAGCATCTTAGCTCATTATTCTTTCATTTTTCGTGAATAAAAGGTCGTATTACTCGCGACCTTCACTTTGTTGATCCTCTGTAAAATTGTGGGTGCTCAGCTTCTAGCTCCGAAACCACTCCCTTTTTCTAACTTCATTAGGTTCTACAACGCTCTCCTTGATTTTTCTACCTTCTATAAAATCCTTGCTTCGCACAGATGATATGCAGCTCCTATCTGTAAGTCGGGTGATCTTAGAAACCGTAGTCTTCATGCATGAACAGCTGCTGACTTCGTCGGCGGCAGTGAAGCTTCTGGAGAATGAGGGCTACGGTTTTAGTTGTGACTTCGTCTTGGAAGATTTAGCCATATTTCACCTGATGGTCAGGCTGGTTGGTAAGTGTTGACCGGATTAATTAGGTCGGACATATTCTTCAAGCTTTTACTGAAAGCCCGGACCTACCAGAACGCATAAGATTGGCAGTAAATTGTCTCAAAAACGCGTTGTCACTCTCTTACTACGTAAATTTAATGGAAACATGACTTAGGAGGAGGTAGTATACCGTTTCAGAAGTATATTTTCATTTTTATTAACCCAGCTATATCTTTCAGAATAGCCACCTAAACTATTTTGATGGGAAAAGTACAAGAAATAAGGCTACTGAGACTTCACTGCACGTGTTTTTGCTGGTCATTCTGCTCAACTTAATATCGATAATGATTTTCGGATGCTCGACCGAAGTACTAGAATGAACTTTTATTTGGCGTGCAGTCTGTATAAAAGTAGTTTTTAATGTGCCCATTTTTCTGTTGTTCTATGTGCTTGTTGCTTATTGTATGATATATGTCCGCTCGTTTTAAATTTTGTTTGTTGTTGATTGCTAAGTTGCTGAGCGCTCGTTTTAAACTTCGCTGGTGCTAATTGTAAAGTTGCTGCCCGGCCTTTATTTGCAGATGAGAGATTTACAGTAATAAAAGTTGCAATGAAAAGTTATCTTTTAACAAAAGCTGTTGCTGCTTCGTTTTTTCTACCATTGCTTCAGTGAGGTTTACATTGTGGGGAAGATAAGCTGTTAATGTGAGTTTTTTCCATTTCTGAAACCATTCATCATTTTCTGCGACGTATAAGTTAAGGCTGTCATTATAAAAAAAAGAATTTCACATATACGCTGCAAACAATTGCAAGTTGTTGCCCTCCCGTTCTTCGAGAAAGTTACCCTGCAACAGCATTAGTGAACATAAGCTATGATACGTAGATCAGTTGATCGTCAGGTAAGAAATTTGGAAATACTGGCTATATTTTGCGTTGCATACGATAACATGTCTGATTAGTTTATAATTATATGCACGTAGAGGCTTGTGTTGCGTCAAACAAATGGTGATGCGATTTGGCAACAAAAAATGCCGATTAAAGATTATAACATTTTGGCGCTTGCTAAAACTAAGGACGAAGTTCAGTGCTTTCGGCCACGAAATCACGAAAAGAATAAAAGTCAGAAGATTTTATCCCCGGCCGAACTGGCTTCAGGGAAAAAGACGTTTTGGGCTCAGCTTGACATCAAAGGTGAGTGACACCTGAAAACTATAAATAAGCAAATTTTGATGATCGAAAACTTATGGCGATTTTTTGAACCAAAATATTTAGGCACCATCAGAAATATTTCGCCTGCCCTGTGGAACCTTCAGCACCTGACCTCGCTGTTCATTGATAACAACTTCCTGGAAAAGTATGTCTTTGTTTTGGTTTTTAGTTCTTTGTTGATGAAGTTTTTTTTCAAGACTGCCGCCAGAGATATCAAGGCTTGTTAATCTACAAGTGTTGGACGTGTCCGACAACCAACTACACAGTTTGCCGGTGGAGATGGGTGACCTGCGCGCATTGCAACATTTATACCTCAACAACAACTACATAAGGATACTACCTTTCGAGCTGGGCAAGCTTAGCAACCTCCAAACGCTAGGTGTGTATCGATTGAAGCTTATTGGTATCGCGTATTTATTTTTATTGCTATGTCTCATGCTTTACTGTTGTGCAAGTAATGCACCCTGCGGTGTCGTTGCAATCAGTTGAGTAAGTGATACCGAGCCGTTGGGCTGCCAGCAGCGGGGCACAACAGTCCGCTAGTGTGATAATGTCTCAACTTGCGAGACTTATGGCAATGTTGTCTTCGGTTTGGACTTTGACTTTACGGCTACAGCTTGCTTTGATCCACCTGAAAGCTGACTTCATCATCTTGGTGAGATGGGTTAATCCCTCAAAAAATATTGCGAGAAGACGCAACGAGAATTAAACAAAAACACTTTGTTTCATGGAATTCCGAATGTAAAGAAGACCTAAAGGAAATTTGTGAATAGACTTGTCATAAAAGTCTGAGTAACACTGCAAAAGACTTTGACATAGTCTTTATACGAATCGAAATGACCTGATGGTGACGATCACATTTTTAATCGATATGATATATGCGGCTTTTTTTGCAGTTTTACATGAAGAACTTACGAAAGTCTTTAAGTTATATGAATGAATTTAAACCTAAGCGACGTTTTCTAAGCTCTCTGATAGTAATTGAAGCATTGAGCTTATGCAGTGTTGCGAATCCGACCGGCAGAAGGCCCAGGGGACGGCCAAGATTAACTTGGTGCAAATATATGGAAGGTGTCTGTTCCAGACTCCAGTTTTCTTCTGCTGCCGAAGTTCAGACACAGGCACAGGATCGGGAACGTTGGAAGTTCTGTCTGACGCGTCTGCCTCCGCGACCCGAAAGGAGAAGCGGCGTTGGAAGATGATGAAGCTTATCCAACCGTTTGCTCAGATTGTGAATCAGAACTCGCTGGCAATTTTGAACAACGTCAGGACGCCCTGATGGTTTTCTATCATTAAGCCTAATGTCAAAACATGGCTTGCTTATGCTCGATGGGATCTGATTCCTAAGGTCATTCGTACTGATTAAATCACTTTTGTAGGCAGTCAGTCATGCAGTCGTTCAGTAAGAAAGGTATAACTGATGAGGACATCAGTGACTCTGATCGGGGAGAGTGGCACAACGAATCGGTGTTTGTTTTGTTTTGCGTTCATTTACTGTGTAGTTGCGCCCCACATGCTTCATGGTCCTTTAGGCAGTGCACGTACTTCTGGTCCGACGACCATTCGCTTTATCCAGTTTGTAGCAGCAGTGAGGGTGTTGGTTAGAGGCACTCTTTTTTTCTCTTGTTATTATGTACTCGAAGGAAATGGGGACGTTTCACCCAACGCAAGACCCGTTTCTTCCGGTGCAGTTAAAAGCCATATCTTCCTGGTTTGATCTAAATGAGCAACGAATAATGCTTTCCGGCGACGGATAATTAAAGCACGTGCATCTGCATTCATCTAAGTGTGAGTTTCCATTGCTCACAAATCCGTATACATGTAAGCTATGAGATAGAGGCCATAAGTAAATGCTAAAAGAGGAAGTTTATAAAGACGTCCAATGCGATGTTCCAAGATACTTGGGATGATTACTACGATAGGCGAGGGGGGGGCCATTTAAAATGTCTCAGATCTGTATAACCA